TGGATTCTTTTTTCCTTTTGCTCTTCTGGTTGGGTGTTTTTTGTTTGCTCATGTTCCAAATTGCTGATTTGATTCTCAGTGTCTTCTACTGTACTGTTGATTCCATGTAAATTATTCTTCATTTCAGTTCCTGTAGCCTTCATTTCAAATTGGTACTTTATTATGTTATCGATTTTCTCAGTTATTTCCCTAATAGTCTGCTTAAACATCCTTATAAACAAAATTCTGAACTCTGTATCTGTTAGCTTGCTTGGATCTATTTCATTTAGTTCCTCTTCTAGAGATTTCTTCTGTTCTTTCCTTTGTGACATGTTTCTTTGCCTCCACATTTTGGCTGCTTCCAGGTGTTTGTTTCTATGTATTAGGTAGAGCTGCTATGTCTCCTGGAATTTGTAGAGTGGCTTTGTGTAGTAGGTGTCCTGTAGGGTCCAGTGGCTCAGCCTCCCCAGTCACCTGAGCTGGGCCTTCTAGGTGCTCCCCTGTGTGGGCTGTGTGCACTGTCCTGTTGTAGTTGAGCCTTGGTTGTTGTTGGCATCACTGGGAGGAACTGACCCCCAAGCCAATTGGCTGTGAGGACCAGCTACAACTACAGCCAAAANGCTGTTGGCGTCCCTGGGAGGATCTGACCCCCAGGCCAGTCGGCTGTGAGGACCAGCTGCAGCTACAGCCAGAAAACTGCTGTGCTGGAGACACCCCTAGGGAGCAGGATTTACTTCAGTGGGGCTTTGGTGTTCACCAAGTGCGCCCCTTAAGCGTGTCACTCGTGGATGTGGTAGGGCTGTAATCCAGCGTGGTCGAGTCTGATAACAAGGTACACTGTCTCTGGAGTCTCCTGGGAGGTGCCAAGTCAGCCTGTGCCAGTGTCTTGCCCAGGGCAACCCATCATGAGCTACGCAGCAAACCGTAGTTGGCTGCTACTTGTGCTGGGCTTGGAGGTGTCCAGGAGAGGCCAAGCTATGAGCCAATGCAGGCTGCCGCTAGTGCCAGGCCTGGGGCCACTTATCAAGCCGTATGGGGCACGCTGCTGCTTGTTTGAGAGATTTTAGGAAAGTCCTAAGCATTAGTCTTGGGAGGCCACTTGCACAGAAAAGCCACCGGAAATGGCCTGGATGAGCTTGCAGGTGGGGAGGGTGGGGCCCCGGGAATCACCGGGGCAGGGCCAAAGGTGTGAGTCAGGGGCTGGAGACTCAAATATGGTGCCTGCCTGCTGGCTGTGTGGGGGGAGGTCTCACCAAAGGAACAATGGCCTCTGCCAGCTACTCTGCCTGGGAGAAAGCTGCCCCTCCACCTCCTGCCCCGATTTCAGGCAGGTTAGTTCCTCCCCAAGTGTCCCAGGTCCTTTCAAGCTGCTGCCCGGCACTGGGCTCAGAGGGAGCGCATCTGAGTGAGTCCCTGCGCAGGCCCTTTAAGAGGAGCTGCTGGGGCTCCCGCAGCCTCCTCGACCCTCAGCAACAGTCCCCGCTGGTTTTCACAGCCCGAAGTTTTGGAGATGTCTCTTCCTGGACCTGGAGCCCTGGGCTGGGGTCTGTTGTCGGGCTGGGACCCCTCACTCCTCCGGGAAACCTCCACTGCGGAGATGCCCTTCTGGGTTTAAACCTCGGCACTGGGTGTGGGCCCGCAGCTGTGTCTCCCTGATTCAGCCCCGATACGCCCGCATCTCCCCCCTCCTACCGGTCTCGGTGCTGCTTCAGTTCCATGGTTGTAGGGCTTCCATTCAGCCAGATCTCAGGAGGCTCTGAAGGATGGTGCTTCTGTGTTTTGGTTGTAATTTTGATGTGGTTGCGGGAGGCGGCGGGTGCAGCTGCTACCTACACCGCCATCTTGTTTCCTCTCTCAAGTAATTTTTAAAACAACATGAAGAGGTTCCTTAAATAAATTAGAATACTGAGGTTCTAGGAACTACAGAGAGACATTTAAAACCTGTAATTAGTAAAACAAGCTTTAGAACATCGTAAGGAAGTAAAAAGAAGATTAGAGGAAACGTAAATGGTTTTAAAACACACGCGTAACAACTCAGTAACAACTGAGGCCCTACAAGAAAGCACCTGGGCGCTTACGTGCATCACATTAATGTTTAAAACCACCCTTTTGAGATATATGTTATTTGCCTCAATTTTGTAGGAAGAAAAAAGTCAGGGTCTGAAACGTAAACTGTTCAAAGCAAACAGATGACAACGCCAGTCCTCAGAACCCGAAGTTCAAACAGAAACTCCCAAGAAAAGCAAACAAACGAAGCCTTACCTATGACTGCTTCCTGGGCTATCCCCCTGTACGGAAAATTAATTAAACAATTAAAATTTTTCATTAGCTTAATTCTATTTCAGGCAAGCCAATAAAAATTTTATTTAATCAAAATAATCCCACTTATCTATTTTTATCATAGTGAATAAGTTTAATTATTAAGTGTTTAAATTAGATGCTTTAACATTTTACTACTTCGCAAAAGCAAAATTTAGTTTAACACCTAGCTTAATTATATAACAACAAATTGTTAGATATTTCATAAATTTTCTAACAAAAACTTATTATATACCCAATGAACACCTGGGGTCAGGGTGGTACCAGACAACATACTCTCTACGCCTTCATTGCTCACAGGTTGTGTGAGTGCAAATTCACCTATCACATAAAGTGCATTAGAAACCTCACAACCAACACTCCCTGCACTCCCGTGGGCACTCACAGACTTGTGCAGAGCAGCAAACACTGGTGCTGCCCACTTGCACATCCCAGGGGAGGTGGAGTACACAGTGCTTCACTCGCTTCAGCTCTCATGCTGTGTTCTTTTTACAGCCTATTCCATGCCATGATTTTCACATTTCTGTGTTTTTACTGGTGATTTCACTGTTTAAAAGGACCCCATGCACAGTGCTGAAATACTGTGACATTTTCTCATATGGAGAAAATACACGTGTTAGATAAGCTTTATTCAGGCTACAGTGCTGTTGGCTGTGAGTTCAAAGTTAATGAGCCAATAATATATATTAAAGTCTCAAACAGAAACATAAAACAAGGTTATATACTGTTCAACAGATGAAAATGTTGTGACCATAAGCTCACAAGACCCTAATTCTGTATCTTCCCTAGGAGCGATATTCTGGCATTCACAGCAAGTTTATAAAGCATAACTACTTTGAATGAGAATAAATTGTTTTTGTTTTCTTTCACAGGATACAAAATTACCTATAGCATTTTTTTTCCTCCAAAGCAAACCATAACTAATTTAAAGACCGATTTGGGTTCATCTATCTCTTATATAATTAAGCTATTCACATCTGACATTTAAACTACATGACTAAAAGTGAGAAAAAGCTAAGAACCATATGATTTCACTCATATGTGGAATATAAAACTGAAACTCGTGGACACAAACAACAGTGTGGTGGTTGCCAGAGTTCCCTGGCAGGGGAATGGGGCGGAAGGGTGTCTTAACATATGGTGATAGAAGATATGACTGGGTGGTGGGCACACAGAGCAATATACAGATCTTGTAACACAGAAACTCACACCTGAACCCTACAAGTTTGTATTAACCACTGTCACCCCAATAAATTTAATAGTGTTAAAAAAATGTCTTAAAAACCCACTATGTAACCACAAAAATAAAATTCTAAATAAGGACCAAATGAATTTAGGAAATAGCACTACAAAACAGTTCAACCAAACCAAACACAAAATATGACCAAGAGAGAAAAAAACTGGTTGGCAAAAATAAAAAACACCAAAAAAAACAACAACTCAACCAAATAAAAAGCACCTCAGGAAAACACACGAAACCACAGGTTCTTTTAAAAAGCAGTATGGCCCTGGCCGGATAGCTCAGTTGGTTAGAATGTCTTCCTGGTGCTGATGTGCCAAGGTTGCAGAGTCAATCCCCGGTCAGTGCGCAGAAAAGAATCAACCAATGAATGCATAAATAAGTGGAATGACATCAGTGTTTCTCTCTCGTGCTCTTTCTCACTCCCCCTCCCCTTTCCTTTCTCTCTTAAAAAAAATAAAAATCAGTATGCTGGATGAACTATACTGAAAGTTCAAATAACTCTTACATTTGGCATTTGTCTGAAACTTAAAAAATATCAACTTAAGTGTTGGCCTTCACTGTGTTAAAAAAACATACACGGAGATTAAAGTCACCTTTGAAAAGGAAAAGAAACTAGGTCGAATGAAACATTATAATATCGGGGAGAAACTTTACTGGGAAAACAGAAGGGTACAGTGTCCTAAATGTGTCCTACCAGATGATGATAATATGTACTGCTATTTATAAAAAGGATTTAGACCCAAATTAATTTGGGAAACACTGAGTTGAACAAGTTTAAGTAACTTTCTCTCACAACAGCTTTTCTCAGGACTTCAAGATGGCAATTCACACTCTGCCCAGCATTACACACTGGACATGCTGGGCTAAAAGGTAATTTAAACTTAGTCTGACAATTTTCCTCTTCTTAGAAAACAAAACAGGCAGAGGTCAGACAGAGCCTGCCTCATTTCAGAGATGTGGGTCGTGGGCCCAAGGGAGGGAAAGTAATTGGCACAAACTCATACAATCAGTTTAGTGAAGAAGAACATTAGCAAATGAAAACTCTTCTCACTGTTCCAGTACATAGGAAACAGAAACCCCATTTCACTAACCCTAAAAAGTACTTTTAAAAATATCATAACATTTTTGTACTTGTTCTTGAACTGCATCTTAAAAGTGGCTGCATCTTGATTCCAAAATGGAGGCAGATACAGTGGGGGCTACACTGACACTCTCCCAGGACCAAACTGGAATTACAACTAAAATAGAGGAAAACCATCCTGAATAATCAACTGAAGACGAGCTGGAGAGCACCCTCATAACCAAGGAAGAAAAGAGGAGACCACATAGAGACTGGTAGGAAGTGTGGACGCGAGAGGGCTGGCTGGGCTCCCACAGGCAGCAGCTGAAGGTCTGGAAGGATATCACAGCTGTGGGGGGCTCCCACTGAGGACTCTGGGGCCTAAACCGGAAGCTGGCCTTCCCAGCCCAAAGCACCAGAACTGAGAAAAGTGCCCACATAACGCCTGGCTGTGAAAAGCAGCAGGGTTTCTGTCTGCCAGGGAGAGACGGCTGGAAATGAAAGCACCCTCTTAAAGAGCCAACCCACAGAGTTTCATGTGCAGCCACACACCCTGAGTTAGAGCAGTAGGAAGGCAGAGTGGACTAGAGCTGTGTGAAGAGAACCTAGGGATGCTGGCTTGGGGGATAGAACTCAGAGGACAGCTATCTGGAATCCTGTCCTCAGTAATGATTCCTGTCCCCATATGGGAGAGGATGTCTTTCTCAGGCAGACATTTACTGTCCAAGCAGCTTTTGCCTGAGGGGGAAGCAATTGCCCCACCCTGCTGAAAAGCCTCTCACCACACCGTGTGGAGTTTCTACAGGCTGAGGTTAAGAGACTGAATAATAATCAGGCTCTGGGTGCTTTGAGTCTCTGCCTGATTTGCTTCTGGACCCCAGGCTTGGAAAAGCAGACCTTGGTGCGCAACTTGGTCTTGTCCAAACCCACCCAGGCCCAGCAGAGGGAACTACACGCTGGGGAGTGCAGAAAGCTTCAAACAGCGTACTTAAGGCCAGTACAAACAGCCTCTAACAATGGCCTGCACCAGAGACCATCCAAAAGACTGGGAGTCCTAGAACATCTACCTAATACATAGAAACAAATCCAAATAGGCAGCCAAAAAAGGGAGACAAAAAAAAACAAGCCCCAAATGAAAGAACAAGAAAATTCTCCAGAATAGCTAAATGAAATAGAGATAAACAATCTATTAGACACAAAGTTCAGAATACTGATTATAAGGATGATCAACAACATGAGAAAAGAAATGGAAACTATGAAGGAAATTAAGACTGACATGGTAGAAATAAAGAACACAGTGGAAGGAATAAACAGATTAGGGAAAGCTGAGGATCAGATCAGCGAATTAAAAGATGGTAGGGAACAAAATCACTCAATCAGAGATCCAAAAAGGAAAAGCAGTTAAAAAACAGGAGGACAGTCTAAGACAGTTGTGGGACAACATGAAACATAACAATATTCACATCATAGGAGTGCCAGAGGAGGTCGAAAGTAAGTAAGCGTTAGAGAACCTGTTTGAAGAAATAATGGCAGAAAACTTCCCTAACCTGGTCAGGGAAAAAGTCACACAAGTTCAGGAGGCACAGAGAGTCCCAAGCAAGAACGCAAAGAGGACCATGCCCAGACACATCATAATTAAAATGCCAAAAATTCAAGACAAAGAGAGAATCTTTTTTTTTTAATATATCTTTATTGATTTCAGAGAGAGGAAAGGAGAGGGAGAGAGAGATAGAAACATCAATGATGAGAGAGTCATTGATCAAGCCCACAACCCGGGCATGTGCCCTGACCGGGAATCGAACCCTGATTGCCTGGATCCTAGGTCGACGCTCAACCGCTGAGCCACACCCGGCCGGGCACAAAGAGAGAATCTTTAAGGCAGCAAGAGAAAAGCAATCTGTCACCTACAAAGAAGCTCCCATGAGGCTGTCAGCTGACTTCTCATCAGAAACTCTACAGGCCTGAAAGGAATGGCATGAAGTAATCAAGGTAATGCAAAACAAGGATCTGAAACCAAGACTACTCTATCCAGCAAGGCTATCATTCAAAATAGATGGTGAAATACAGAGCTTCCCAGACAAAAAAAGGCTAATGGAGTTTATCACCACCAAACCAGCATTGCAAAAAATGTTAAAGGGACTGCTGCAATTAGAAGTTGAAATAGAAAGAACGAGAAACATAGGCATAAAGAAATAAAATGGCGATAAGTACCTATCAGTAACCTTAAATATAAATGGATTAAATGATCCAATCAAAAGACAGGGTAGCTGGCTCAGCGACTGAGCATTGACCTATGATCCAGGAGACTGGGGTTCAATTCCCAGTCAGGGCACATGCCCGGGTTGCGGGCTCAATCCCCAGCAGGTGGCGTGCAGGAGGTAGCCGATCAATGACATTCTCATCATTGATGTTTCTCTTTCTCCCTCTCCCTTGCTCTCTCTCTGAAATCAATAAAAATGTATTTTTTTTAAAAAAGACATAGGGTAGCTGAATGGATAAGAAAACAAGACCCAAATATATGCTGTCTACAAAAGTCCCACCTCAGAACAAAAGACTCACACGGGGGTGGGAGGGGGGGATGACCGACGGACTTCCAGAGAATTTTAAGGGAGAGATTAACAGCAATACAGCCACAGTAGGGGACTTTATAACACACCACTGACTTTACTGGATAGATCTTCCAGACAAAAAATCAACAAGCAAACAGTGACTCTAAACGACACACTAGATCAGATGGATTTAATTCACATTTACAGAACATTTCACCCCAAAGCTGCAGAATATACATTCTCAAGTATACATGGGACATTCTCAAAGATAGACCCACATGTTAGGACACAAAATAAGTCTCCACAAGTTCAAGAAGACTGAAATCATATCAAGCATCTTCTCGGACACTTACTCCATGGAATACCAGCAGCTATAAAAACTAAGGATCCCTTACCCTTTTGGACAGCGTGGAGAGACCTGGAGAGTATTATGCTAAGTAAAATAAGTCAGTCAGAGAAAGTATCACATGATCTTACTCATATGTAGAATCTAATGAACAAAATAAACTGATGAACAAAATACATCCAGAGACAAAGAAGCATGGAAGAGACTGACAAATCTCAGAGGGAAGGCGGGGGAGGCGGGGAGAGTAACATAAGAATTTTTATACATATATGCATAACCCATGGATACATACAATAGTGTGGTGAAGGCCTGGAGGTACGGGGGTGCAGGGTGGAAGGGATCAATGGTAGGAAAAGGGGACATCTGTAATACTTTCAACAATAAAGATAAATTAAAACCAAAAAAAAATGACTATCTTAAAACTGACTGAAATGCAAAAAATCAACCAAAAATAACTGATAAAAAAGATAATGCTGAATGTAAAAAACTGATTATAGAATGAACATGTATAAATTCCACCCTCAGAAATTCATGAAAACTCTGACTGAAGAATGGGTCTACTCTGGATTGTTGAGGAGTTTTACCTACCTAATGGCAAGAGTTTATAAATTTCCCTTTTAAAAGTCCCTTGAGTTCTAAAGAATGATTTTAAAACCTGTTTTATATAGCTGATGTACATAACATACATAACTGCCATTTAAACTATATAAAACCAAGTTACACGTGTAGTATTATATATGTTCTATAGTAAAAAATCCTGAATATTTGCCAATATAAAGTAGTGAAAGAAGAAAATAAGGAACTAAACAATAAAAATTATAAAAAAGGAAAATGAAGTAAATGCTATTTAAAAATGAATTAACTGTTGGAGCTAATCAGATGAGCAATGAGAATGATATGGATTTTACACTCCTATGGAAATACTTACTTCATCACTTTCTACCAGGTTCTCAAACTGAAAGAACAAGAAAGTGAGTGTCAGGAGAAATACTGTCTAAGATACAGATCCCACAAATTATGTCACATTTTCACCTAAAAAGTAATGCACCTTTATATTTGGAAGATCCTTATGTGTCTTTTACACATTAGTTCATTTGATATCTACTGCACAGTCCTAACCAGACAGCCCAGACAAGCTATCTTTTTGATTTAAGATTTTACATAAGAAACAAAAAGGAGACTGTGTTTCTACATGAATGGGAAACTGATAAACGAAAACGTCACCTGAACTGAACATTCATACAAATGTTTTATATCCACAATGCCAGAATTTTCCACTTGAATTCAGAGTAATTTAACATCACAGGAAGGAAAAATTATTCAAAAAACAGGGACTGAAAAGATACCCAAACAAGAACTTCTCTTATAATGTTTATATTTATTCATCTATTCATTCAGGTAAGTATTTACTGAAAATCTACTAGATGGTGGTCACTGCTCCCAAAACAATGTCTTTCTAGATATAGGAACAGCCATGTCAAATTACCTAGAGAAAATCATTACTATTAAAATATTTACATTCTAAATATAATTTGATAAATAACCACTTGAAGTAAAGAATAAAGGGTTTTCTTGCTAATGCTGTTTTGTTGTCTAAAGATTAAGAAAACAATGAAAGGTTCAGAAAACATAGGATGCTAAAGGGATTACTTAAAACTGTTTAAAATTATGATCTTGAACTTATATTTTTGTATTGGTTTGTGATTTTTAAAAACTAATGTCTGGTTTATATGCTTCCTTATTTAATAAAGTCTGTAAAGTACAGTGTTCAAGCCTTGAAGCAGGCAGCTTGGGACTGGAATTTTAACTCTTCCACTGACAGGTTATGTGTGTCAGCCCGATTTCTTCACTTAAGCCTCTGGTTCTCATCCATAAAATGGTATGACTGCCACACATTAACTACGATTGTACAAGAGCTATGTGCAAGAACATTCATCAACTACATGGTGGAGTAGCTGGCACACAGTAGGGGACAAGTCAATGGTAGATTCTATTGTTATGTTTTACATACAGAGAAAAAGCAACTCAGGTGATTCTACTGGGGAGGTGCTTAAAATAAACTTACTTTGATTCTGGTACACCTCTTCACTGGGGCAGGGCTGGCACCTGCCTGCAGAATCACTGCCTTACTGAGAAGAGCAGCCTGTCCCTACACTGTGTGGGGTGGAAAAATAAAACCACTACTTCTTGAATAGAAATGGAGATTCTATTAGAACAGGAACTAGATCTTCTGCTGACTTTACCCTATACGCTCTCCCTGTCCCACCACAATTCTTTCCTCTTCACCAGCATCAACAACATTGAAATACAGACAGTGCACACTAAATTCAGGTCCTGATCCTTCCCCCTTAACTAAAAAAAAAAGCCCTTCTTGAAGGTACTTGTACCCAATCAAATTAACAACTCTACTTACCTCTATAGTTAAATGCTCACCTCTTGAGCATGTTCTAAAATATTTGGATCTGGGAAGAAAAACAGAAAAACAACTTTAAAATCAAATTTAATCCTAAAACTGAATTAATATAATGGGATAAAAACATTTTCAAGAGCAATTTTAAATTCTTTAACATATAGTACCTTATATTTATAAGAACGAACCACCAAATTTACCTAAGAACATAAATAGTCCAGATTTTTAAACTTCGTTATGGCTTTAAAAGTGTTTAGTCAAGCAATATTTTTCTATTGGTACTAATATTTACTAAACTTGTAATAGTAATTTAACTTATTATATTTACTACGTAAAACAGAATACAAGCAAATTTAAATGTATCTCATTTTTACTGTATTAAAAAAAAACCTTGTTAAAATACTGATGTATTAAATACCCATAATAAATCTTCCCAATTTTGTTAAACATAGGCAAAACAACAAAAATCTAAAAGGATACACGCCCAGGTGCTGACAGTGGTCATCTATGGGTGCTGGGATCATGTTTACACAAAGCTAGGTGCTTCCAATTCCCCACCCAAGTCCACACAAATAAAAATAATAGCAATGCATACACACATCAACCACATAATCTGTTACATTAATTTTTCCAACTAGGGCCAAATAATAACTTTAATTTTAATCTTTCTCTTCACAGTATACATATATCAAATCACCATGATGTACACTTGAAATATCTTAGGTTTCTCAATTATAAATCAATGAAGCCAACATTTTAAAAAAGGAATCCTTCTCTTCCATTAGTAAAACTTACACGCAAACGAGCATCTTTGTTATATGCGCTCCACAGACATGTACACACTGTAGCTACTTAGTATGAGTGATAGTACGGGACAAGCCACTCAAACTCCTTTCCTATAGGAAGGGCCAGATTATATGACTTTCACTTAAAATGTGGTTTCTGTTACAGCTGCCACAATGGATGCAGGAGGGGACTCCTCATCACTCCAAAGCGTGCAATGTGCCACAGAGTTGGCTCCAACTCCTGGCAACCCCCTGAATGAATGACGCCCACAGTGTCCTGTCCTCACAGCCCTGCTCAGCCCTGGAGGCTCAGCCTGTGGCGTCTTCCATGGAGTCCATCCAGCTCACATTTGGTCTCCTCTTTTCCCGCTGCCTCTATGTTCCCGGCATTATTGTCTTTCCCAATGAACCTGCCTTCTCACGTGTCTGACAGCTTCAGTTTGTCATTCTGCCCCAGGAAGTTTCTGGCTTCATTTGCTCTGAGACCCATCGTTTGTCCCAGGTCTCTGCAGAGCTCTGCTCCACCACGTTAATGAACCAGTTTCCCATCAGCCTCTTCCCTGTCTGGCTCTCGCATCTGCACGTGGTGACTGAGAGGACGAGGGTTGGACGGTCTCAGCCTCAGTCTCCATGGCACGTCTGTGCTCCTGGTGGCCTTTCCTAATTTTCCACTGCTGCCCTTCCGACCTCCTGGTCTCTTGGCTGCTGCCTGCGCTGGAACCGAGGATTGGACCGAGGTCAGCGAGAGCGTTACCCATTTCAGTGTCTTCATTATGGATGCTGAAGTTGTGCATTTCTTCTGCAGCCAGGATCTATCTTCCTGTTGGTCAGATGCAGTCCCGCTTTGCCTCTTTCCTCCTTCACTGTCATCAGAAGTCACTTCAAATCATTGCTACTTTCTGCCTGTCAGGTGGCGTCACCTGCAGAGCTTAAGTCATTGATATTTCTTCCCCCAATGGTTCCTAAAGTGTCAGGATTCCTGGATAGAAAGCACCCCTTGCACGTATATTCAGGTTCACTAATTATGATAGCTGAGCTGATGAAACAAACATACTGCAAAAACATCAATTTAAAGAAAATTAAAGTGTATTTTCCCCTTTTCTTAACAGCCTAAGGACCCTAGTATCACCCTTTATGCATAACCCTGTGTTCCCGAGAGCTGTCTCTAAATGAAGCAGAGTAAGTTTCTGTGTCTGCTCTGCTACTGCTGACATGTGAACACGGACTCCCACACGTGAAGGATGTCAGAGAGGTAGGAAGGCAGCCTCTAAAACTTGGAATGATGTGTCATGTAAAGGAATCTGTGAGTGTGAAAGGAATGTGATACGAAAGTGGAGACTGGTGCTTACATATTTATTATCAAGGCAGATATCAAGACAATCTTTTATTAAGGATAAAATCAGTCTTTTTAAGAATAGACTGAAAAAATGCAGGCTTTTGTGCTCTACATGTTATTTTGCATAGCAGGTAAATAGTCGTTTACACTAAAGTGTCTTAAGTAAAAGATAACTGAAAAATTCTCACAAATCCAACACTGGTATTGTTCCTTTTCTTCACATTCTCCTATAATATCTGTTAAACTAAAAAAGGAGTCAGTCCCTTTATCTTCTGTTTGACATTATAAACAAACAAACCGTAGTAAATTGTTCCAAAGTCTATTAAAAATTAAAAGCTTCCCAAGACTCTCTTTTTTCTGTACAAAAGATTGGGAAGGTTACAAATCAGATTCCAAACAAAAATTATTGCAATGAATCAGTTTTCAACTGGTATCAAATACTTGAGAGGAGGTTTAACTATTGACACCTCAAGGGACGACCCATCAACAGATTTTTCAGGGAGGGATGGCATCTACACAGGAGGTAATAAGAAAGTAATATTTACTGTTTAATAAGCCCCTCCCTGATGAAGGCAAATTTAGGAAGAACAGAGGTTCATAAACTTATTTAACGCCTTGGGAGAAATCTTCTTGCTAAACACGTCAAAGACAGAAAACATGGGATAAGAAAAGTCACTGCCCTTAAAGAGGAGCCTAATATTCAGAGGAAAATGATGGCCAGATGGGACCTTAGTGGTCTCATTCTCATTCATCCCTGCAACTTGTGTGCAGCATTTGATACTGCTGACCACCCTCCTCTTTTATTTACTTTTTCCATGTATAGGGGGTAATGTCACAGGAAGGCCACAGTATCCTGCCACCCATGAGGAGTAAACCCAAGTTCCTGTTGGATGTGTTGTAAACAGAGGAGCCATTCTTCGGGCTCCCTGCTCTGATCACACCCCTTGACCACCGTCTTCTTTTATAAACTGCTGTTGCTTAGGTGTCTACAGTACTGAACCTTCTAGTTATTACTTCCCTGGGTTACTGAATGAGAACACAGTCATGTATCTAAAATACAAAAGTGAATAAAAATATACCTATGTACCCAACACACCTGCAGACTAACAGGATAGACACAGGTGAACTAACTACCACCATGATGTGAGAAGTATCCGTTCAAATAAAGGGGCATTGAGAGTCAGCCTGAGGAGGAGGAATTAACCGGCCCCCAAGCATCGAAAAGGGACGTTTCAAGGAACAGCAGGTACCAGAGGTAAGGGAGAGTGGAGGTCATGGTGTGTTTAAGAAACCACACTCACTAATTCTGTCAAGTATGTACCTAAGATTCTCCAGTGACAAAGTCCTGAGAAATAATGGCAACCAAGTATCTATCTACAGAATAAAGCATGAGCTACTAGACAAATATAAATCACATCAAATTTTTTTACTCCTATGTTTCTGCCCTTACATGAACTACTAGTTAGCTATCTAGACCTAGAGCTGGAAATAAATCAAAACTACCAGATGAAAAAAAAAAAGCTAACAAAAATGAGAGCTAAATGTACTTATTCTGTAAATAACAATTAATTATATCCACTTATCGGTGTGTTTACCAGAAGCTCCTAAAATAATATTAAAATTAATGTAAAACAGTAAGTTCATCAGAAGACTCAAGTAGGAAACTTGTGCAAACCTACGTTTACAAATTAAAAGAAACAAATTGTTACCAGCATCATGATTTTTATTTATTGATTTTTTAGAGGGGCAAGAGAAACATCGATTTGTTATTCCACTTAGTTACACATCACTGTTTGCTTCTTGTGTGCGCCCTGACAAGTGATCAAACCAGAAACCGTGGTGTCTCAGGAGACGGCTGTAACAACGAAGCTGCCTGGCCAGGGTCCATCATACGATTTTGGACGACAATGTCCACAACGCACAAGCTCTAGTTGCCTCAACAGGACTTGTTTGTTCAAGTTCTGCCCACAAGCAAAAGAGTACAGATCCAACCGCTACATTTTCAGGGCATATCTGCGGACAATTACACACAGATTCAGGGACATCCTTTGCCCCTTAAAACCCTGTGCTGCCCAGCTCTTGTGCTCTATTCTAGGAAAATATAGTTTGTAAAATCAACATGAAAGCACAAAACAAAAACCCCACAGACACCAATGTAATCCAACGTCAAATACAGGGTGGGGCAAATGTAGGTCTAAGCTGCTCTTTTGGAAAATATAATAATTAATAACAAGTATAAGCCGTTTGCGTACTCACGATTGTACAACTACCCTTGCCTCACCCTGCGTGATTTCCGCTTACTGAATTGGAAGTTTTAAGACCCTGTTATCGCCCAGCCGGGCGTGGCTCAGCGGTTGAGCCTCGACCTAGGATCCAGGCGATCGGGGTTCGATTCCTGGTCAGGGCACAGGCCCCGGTGGCGGGCTCGATCAATGGCTCTCCCATCATTGGTGTTTCTCTCTCCCTCTCCTTTCCTCTCTCTGAAATCAATAAGGATATATCTTTTTAAAAAAGAAGAAGACCCAGTTATTGCCGTTAGAATGTAACACCCGACAACAAAACTGCAAGTAAAATACTAACAAAGCTGAAGATCTGGCAGCGACCGGTCCCTACGTGGGCCACACAGCACGACAAGTACTTAGGTGACTGGCGCGTTCCCTGCAACAGCACCGGCCGCCAGGTCGGGAAAACCAAAAATTAAACGAGGCATAAAGTTTTAAGTTCTGGTTTCTCCACTCGGGGAACGCCGTGAGCCACCGGAGCTGCGGGGACAGAGAGGTGACGGGCGCCAGTGGGGCGAGGGCGGGAAGCGCACTTGTCACAAGAACCCGGCGCCCCAAGACGCACCTTACAGACCAGTGGCGTCAACGTGCTTATGCTGAGCAACCTCATCACCTGTTAACGCCGGTTAAAGGGGCAGATCCTGAAAACCCAGGGATCTGCTCTAGAAAGGGAAAGAGCCTCGTTTCTCACACAAGGCCGGTTGGTTCGTATTTTCAACTCTAAGTTGGAATTCCTGGGACATATTTATTTAACAACAAAGCTGACTTCAGAGGACTTTGTTCTAACCTTTTCAACACCTTATACGATAAAAAACACGCAGATGGACTAACCGCGAAGCTCCACCCTGGCGGCCGGGTGAGGGGCCGCGGGCTGCGGGCGTCGGGCCGCAGGAGCCGCCGGGCGCCGCTCCCCCACCTCAGGACATCCCCGGAGAAAG